CTCTAATCTCATCTGAGAGCATTTTCCCAGGGCGGAAACACTGTCATCCTTTTTTCTCCATACCGTTCCCGTCTCCTTTCTCTTTTATCAGTGTCAAACGATTACCCGAGAGGAAACCAAAGAGTATGCGTCAAGTGCGCCAGGAGGAGCCTCGCCAAAAAAAACCGTCTCTTTCTTCCTCTACCTGCTCTGTCCGTTTTCCCAACATCCCCGGTGCTCGTCGTGTCATGCGCCCTCGCGTCAGCCCCGGCCGCACTCCACGTCCCTTTTGTCAGTCAGTGGCAGAGCACCACATCCACCACAGAAGAATGTCCAACATTTCGTGAAATCATGTTTGAAGTACGTCGTTATATTTTATTGTCTTCATTTCTCTTCCTATTCTCATTTGGGAATCCTGCCGGCCCTTGCCAGGCTACGGCAGGTGGATGGCGGCGCGATCTTTGTCTACAGTGGTTCCTCTGTAAGGGTTAGAATGCAGGAAGGTGGATCAGAGATCGACCTGCAAGAAAGCTGCTCTACTGAAATGTCGAGGAGTGAGAGCTGCCGTTCTCCGCCTGTCATTGCTTGAACCTTTAACTCCGACCTTTCTTGCCAGAAATTTTGCAGCTCGTCTGATCGAAAATGGCTCGAATGAAGAAAAGCGAATTAAATGTCACGCCTCGCTGACAGGTCAGGGCGTCTTGCACCTTTTTCCTCGCATCAAAATCACAAACCGAATTCTATGGACAAAACCAACAATGTTTTTTTTTTATTGAAGTGTAGCATGCATTTGTTTTAGACCCCACCAACTATATTACTAACTAATAAAAACAACAGCAGCTTGTCATACCTTCACATTTTTGTACATAAAGCATCATTAAGATCAAAACGGCAGAATCTTTTCCTGTTATGTTCTAAAACAAATCTCCACCCGAGTCTGTGGACGAACTCATGAAAGAAAACAAACAATCACAATCGAAATGTATTGCATTTGTTTAGCAAATGATTTTCAGACACTCTTTTAAAACTATTTTTTTGGTGGAGAAGTTTAAAACAATGTCCCAAGCTTTGAGCATTTCACAGATCACCGTTCAATCTACTGTCTAAAATGGAAAGAGTTTGGCATAACGTCCCTCCGCCCAAACTGGAAGAATCAGACAAATACCAAATAGGACCATATGGCTTTGCTTGTCAATGTACATGAGAAAGACCATGGTGGATAAAGGTTTAATTTAAATTTTCTTAAGCAGGGACAACAAAACCAGTCAGTGTTGATAAGAAGATGCTAAATGGGAAGGAATTTTGGAAGAATAAATCTCAGAGGTTGAAACTGAAGACGGGGAGAGCCACAGTTCAGATTTAAACCTATGGAAAAGAAATGGAAAATCTACATGCACAATCTACGTGAAGGTTTGCCTCTCTAGATGTGCAAAGCCGCTGGAGACTTTAAAAGACTTGGAACTGTAGTTTATCTGCAGATATTGACTTAGGAGGACTAAGTCTTTGAAAACCACGCAACAATTATCATTATCATTCACCTGGTGCTGGTCTATCATGTAAAATTTCAAGAAAATTGATTTAAGTTGTTCCATGTAACGTGACAGAATAGAAATAAGTATACATAAATTGGCAAGGTGTCCTTAAGATCTCTGACCATAAAATACCATAACATATTACCAGCAGTAATCATTTAATGTAACACCATTAACATCGTAATTGCCTTCATGTCGTGCCTCACTGGGTGTACTGGGACGACGAGGTCAAGTGAAAGCCAAAAACCCAATTCTGATCAAACTCACAACCAACCCCACCCACCCTGCACACTCCAACCATTCAAGTAACCCTCTTAAGGAACACACACACTCCAACGCAAACACCCCCCCCCGCGCCCAAACAAACCCGTTCCACCCTGAACACACCACCTCGGAGCAGAACAGACCCCCATACGTTGAAACACAGTGGACCTATGTTCGTCGACAGCGGGTGCGGTGAAGGGTGGAGTGTATCTGTGACGCCAACCTGCCTTTCACAACTTATTTTTGGCCTGCGTTTGTCGAACATCAGTGGCAAAGCGGCTCTCCGGGAAGGGCTTTTCAAGTCGGTAAATTTGCCTCTGTTTGTGTTTTTTTTTCACTCTCTCTCTCTCTCTCTTACTAATGGAATGGAGAGAAAGAGAAAAGCGCAGTGAAGAAGGGAAAAGAAAAAAACAAAAATCCAAAAACTTATGACAACCAGGTGTTTTTTCCCTTTTCTCAGGAATGTTTCACCTTGTAAAAGCATGCGAGTGAAAGGCAGTTTTTTTTTTTTTTTTAAACCAACTCTTAGAGAATGGTTTGGGGACTTTTCAGAGGGGTGTGTTCTGACCAAAGGGTATGAGTGAGCATTAATCTGTGTGTTTGTGCGAGAGCAATAGAGTCGAGGGTTTTTTTTTTTTTTTTTTTTTTTTGGTTGGGGAGGGTGCTGGGGGGACGGGAGCCAGAGGGTGAATTCTTCATCGCAACCGTAGCGTAGCCATGACTTGGAGAGGCCGAGGCGTTCCTTCGTGTTTTCCATGTTGACTCCACCAACCAATTTTTTGCCTCACTGAGCCTGCTTATTTGATAGGGTGTGATCACGCAGAAGCGCACACCTGGCAGCCGAATGAATGGCAGGCCAGACTGCCACACAGGGGTCCTATTGATGACATCATCGCCGGGCTTCTGGTCACTCCACCCTTTGTGTGTTCACGGAGCCGTTCGCTCGCGGCCCTGTCGCAGACGTGACGCCTTTGCTGCTTGTTTTTTTAAAGGTGATTCAATTTCGTTGGCTCCGTCGCCGAACAAAATAGGTTTTCATAAGAGATTCTGTAGATTTTTTTTATTTTTTTTTATTTATTTTTTTTGCCAGCACAATGAACAATGGAATGCCTGTGACCTTCGGTCGGCTCAGCGCGGACGTCTGTGAGCGAATGAAAGCCCACTTGGACGCTGTGGGAATAGGCCACGTGAAATGCTGCAAGTGCAAATAAATGCTGCCGTAATGACGCCGTTCAAACAGCCGATCCCATTAAATGTAATAGACGTGATCCAAACATGCCCCCCCCCCCCACCACCACCACCCACTCACCCTGCCCCGTAAGAGAAATCGCTTGAAAGTTCTCATGTGAGGAAAAGTTGAGTTCAGCTCAACTTTGGCTCCAACGATCGGCAGATTATACAGTCTGGGGACGTTTATTGCTCTTCCTGAGCAAAACATGAGTGAGAGGAGAGCAGCGAGACTGCCAGCTTTTGATAACTGCCTGGGACGTGTGTGTGCGGATCGAGGGATATGAATCGGTGGGTGTTGCTCAGATGACAGAGCCATTTTTAAATCAGTACCGACTGGAACATCTGGATGATTATTAAAAACATAAAAATTTTGGACAAAAATGGGGTATTCTAGGTTCCTCCAATGGTTTTGATGGCACTTTATGATCTCCTTTTGAAGTCTTTGCATCTGATCTATAACTCAGACTTATGGATTAGCGGTTCCTCCGTACCCAATCAGAACGTACATAAGATGAAGAAGGCAGATGAAACATTGCTTTTGGCCCGCGTGCAAAATAATACATGTGGTGGAAAAACTAAGATTGTTGCAGAGCCCTGAACACAACATCCCCACAGTAAAACATGGTGGTGGCAGTATCATGCTGAGGATAGCTGGCACAGGAAGTTGCTCAGAGCTATTGGAAAGATAAAACTAAATACAAATCTAATCTTCAAGAAAACCTTTAGAGGCTACAAAGATTTTGAGTTTGGGGTGAAAGTTCAACTTACAGAAATATAGCAAATTCCAAATTAAAAATGTTGCACTTGCAATTATCATATTTCATACAATTATCATGTTGAAAACAATAAAGGAAACAGCTTGGCAGTTTAGCAAACCGCTCCATATGTGTGTTCTTAGCAGAATGCGAATGTAGCTGTATCCCTGGAGGCAAATAATAAAGCTTTTCCCATTTAGTGACAAAACAGAAATTGAAATCGCTTTTTGTCATGAGTTAACCTCATGTCGTGTTTGAATTATTCAAATAAAAATTACCACGAGATTAAAATCCTGACCAAATAACACTTTTCACAAGCTACAAGGTTAAGTTCATACAATTAAACTGCCCTCCCTAAGTTAAAATACATACATGGCTGTGGTCATACTAGTGTAATGTAATGTATCAGATCAATACACAAACTGTAACATGTTTTCTATTACAAAACAATAAGGCAGTTTAATGCCTGACCTGATTTGAAAGTCACGGCATCAGAAATGGAGTGATTTCTTTCATATGAGTTGAACAGAATATGGCCAAAAGACTCTCCTAAATTTTCTTTTTCATGTCTTTTTTTTTTTTTTTTATTCCCTTCACATCATCCTATATCCCACCCCTCTTTTTGCGGCTCCTGACCCACCCCGTCCTGCACACTCCCCTCCTTCCTTTCTGCTTTTACCCACAGACACTTGCTTTTTTGTATGAAAAGGGGGTTAACCCGACGAACAATCCAGTCTGTCTTTTCCCAAATTAGCCAGTGGGAGAGGGATCGGTGGAGAGTAAGCCAGAGAAATTGGAGCACAGAGGTGCGCAGCCTCTGGTTATAAGTCTCTGGAGTGGGACCCCGACAGCCTTCAGCCTCCAAACACACAGCCTTGCTGATCGCCTGCCTGACCTGACTGACTGACACACTGAGTTTCCCTCCACTCCCTCTCCCTCTTCTGTCCTGCTCCTTCCCTCCTACTTTCCACCCTGGAGAGTGAGAGTGCACAGATTGGGAAGGTGCTCCTCAGACCTGCGCCTGGATCGCTTGAAGACAGCACAGAGAGGATTTTTCCCTCGTCCTTCACTTTCATCCTCTCCCTGGCTTTCGCCGTCTCTTCCAAGCACGTGGTTGGACTTTGTTTTTAGATTTTTCTCTCCAGACTCAGAAAAAAAAAAAGAAAAAGAAAGAAAAGTTTGAAAATAGAGTTTGCTTCATCTGCATCAGAGAATATCCAATTTTTGAGTTTTATTTATTGTTTTGGTTGTTTTCATCCTTTTTTGTCTATTCGACTCTCTGCACTTGCAGCAAGCACTGGACCAGTTTAGAGTGCCAGCTCTTTGCCCCGAAGGACGCCTCTCCTTATTTTTGGCTGCATGTTCACTGACTATCTGATACTGCCACATCTCATGGGAGACACGTGTGGCTGAACCAAGGAGGGCGGCAGAAGAGAGAGACCCACCTGAGGAGCACACCTACAGCTGCCCCGACCCACCTGCCCTACAACCCCCCTCCAACCTTCTGCCCCCCACGCACCCCCACCACAGAGGGTGAGGTAAGCGCTACCTGTCCTCACATTTCCTCTGGCTCCGCTTGCATCCTCACGTCCTGTCATCATTCCATTTTATCACATGTGGCTGAGGTGAGCCGGGCCAAGAGAAACAGAAGGAGAGAGCAGGAAAGGGGGAAAAAATGTATAAAAAACAGATTCAGCATCTCGGTCATAAGACCCGAGAAAATCTGCTCACCCCTAAGCTAGTGCACTAAATACAAAACTGGAAGATTAAAAAGAACGTGGCTACGGTTTGATCACCGAACCTCTCCTCGACAACCTTCGTTTGAATGTCCTTATGGTACATGTATGCACATATAGACGTAGCTCAGTCATCTGGAAAGTAATGGCATTCTAAATTCTTCTTTGTGGCTGCAAATTCCAGCCCTGGACCTAGATGGTCTTCCTTCATCCCACACGTTTTGGGGGTGTCAATAATAATGATGTTAAGCAGGCGTGGCATGTCTAAGAACAGTGAGGCAGCAGGTTATGTTTAAGAACAGACGCGACGCAAATGCTCTTCAGTAGAACGAATCTCACACAAATATGTGATAGTAAAAGAAATATATATATATATATAACTGCTTTTATTTGCTTCTCTCCTTTCTCTTCTCCTCTCATTTCTCCTCCACTGTTGCTTAATTCCATCCTTTGTGACGCCTCTGGCAAGCGACGCTGCATTCCTTCAGTAACAACATCCCTTCACCAAAAACTCAGAGAGGACAGATAGTTGTGACTCCAAGTCTTTGGGTGTCCCATATGGAACACAAAACGTCTCTGAGAGGAAGAAAGGGGGTAAAAAAAAGAGGAACAAAACACGGCGTTGCCAAGAACTCCTGTTACGATGACGGTTAGTGCGTCAACTTGTAGGTCACTGCATCAGGAAGCGTTCTAAGAAAAAGCCTATTGATCCCGACTTTTAACATCCAAAAAAACAGTTGGCGCCATCCCTCTATTTTTCTGTCATGTGTGGAGAGAAATTGACTACAGGTGTAGAAGTGTGAGTCAAACTAGTGCAAGAGTTTCTGCAGGTGTTTATTTCTACTGTGACACGGAATACACACCAAACTCAAAGAATCTCATGCTTCACGGGGTGTGACAAGTCTGATGTCCCAAACTCTCATTGCCTCGACTGAACTAATTCTATGTTAACGAGTACTACTTTGTGCAATTTGTTGTAATGGTTGCTGTAGTTTGTTTTTTTATTCTTCTTTTTCTTTCAAAAGACAAGCACATGGGTGACGCCAGCCTGGTCTGCTGTTGATAAAGCAGACCTTTGCTCCTGGCTTTCAGTGATTCACAGTCTCCACCGCTCAAGTGTGCGCTCGTGCAAGCGATCTCTCTCTCTAAAACCACATATGCCAGACTCCAACCAACTGCACACTCAGGCCTCTGGTGCAAAGTACCAAAGCGCGACCGAGCGTACACAAACAACAGTCACGCTGGATATTGTCGAGGGCACACGCGGTGTACTTTAGCTATTGTGCAGTGCAAACTCACTCACTTTGAGAACTTTTTTTTTTTTTTTTTTTTACATAGTAACACACCCCTGCTCTTTTTTTCTCCCTCCATATCTGTTTGTCTGAATGTCTGTAGAAGGGATATCTTTGGTCTCAGCTGTCTCTGCATTGATGACCTTTCAAGCTCATCCTTTCTGGCTTGTAAAACACTCTGTAGTTTGTGACCACAAGGGGGCAGTGTAGCTTCCAGCTTCCCATCAAATACTCACTCAAAACACATGGCCTTGTGTACAAAAGGAGGATTCATGTTGAACCGATGAATATATTTAAGGTTGCATTCACATTCTGTGAGCGTACCAGCCACCCTGCTGTCCTGAGTCTGTTTGAAGGATGCAAATTTACTGTTCAGCGTTTATTTCCTTTGTGCTCCCGTGAAGTTTTTCTTTTTTTTTCTTTTTTTTTTTTTCTTTTTGTGCTCTGCTGAGATTCGTAATGCTTTTCCTTGTGCATTTCTGTTCAAGACTCGGCCAGCACATGTGCCTCCACTACTTTCAGCGCTAACAGGAAATGAAGGAGAATGCCAGTCATTTTGTAGCAGAAGCAAACGCCCTCCCAGCCCCTTTACTGTACTGGAATCCACAACACCTCCTGAACGCAAGAACACACACAAAGAAGCATGCGCACACACTTCTCTTATCAGAGTCTTTTGTTCCATTATGCCTCTCGGCGCAGAGAAAGTGAAAATGGGCGACTGCTATCGTTTAAAATCAGGCTTTGAGACTGTTTTTTATTAAGTACACTGCTTTTCTTCCCCCCCCCCTCCTCCCCTCCTTAGCTAGAATCTGTAATTTCAGCCCCAAATGTTCAATGAGTCTTCAGCGCACATTAGAAGGAATGCTAACCAGTTCTGGTGAAACACTGAGTGAGGAGCTACAGTGAAGGGTGGTGGGAACCGAATACAGGTTCTGGTCTTAATCAAGGCTTGGACCAAATCGTTCAAGACTAATAGGCTGGATTTGTTTTTTCAAACTAAAAAGGGGAGCGAGAAAGAAAAGACAGACTCAGTGAAATCTATAAACACTTTTTTTTTCTGTGCAGATGCTTAAAGGTTTGCACTTTTGCTCCATTTGCTCTGTTTGCTCAGTTTAAGCTTGTTTTTGCTCAACCGGTAGCAGCCCTCTTGGCCTGGACAGCGAGATGACATATGTGGAAACTGGTCTGCATTGAGCCGATACGGTGAACCGACACAAATATCTTCCCCTTCGAAACGGATGGGGCAGCAGCTTCTGACTAGAGAGAAGCTGTTTTGACTCTGTGCGAGCCAAGGGACAAGCACACGAACAAAAGGGAAACTGAAAAGCAGAGTCTAATTATCTTTGAAGTGGAAGCTTCACTTATTGTTTTGTGATTTATTTGCCTGCTATTCCATATCTTCGTTTATCAATATCCCTCTCGTGGTTTCGGCCTTTCATAACTGTCTGGAGCAGAGGAAGTTTTTCCACTGGGTTGGCAGCAACAGGAGGATGGAGAGAGAGACAGAGAGAGAACAGTAGGGAGGCTTGGCAGACACCCCTTGTTATTTTTCCTCCGCCTCCCATTGACTCTGTCAGCGCTTGGTTCGGTCTTAGACGGGGCCGCGAGAGCAGAATGGGTTGAGAACAGCATCTATCAGTCAGGACTTATCACAGGAACTCTGGTTGAACAAAAACTGTGGCCAAGGTAGAGATTGTCAACACCACATCGCCACGATTTCCCCACCCCTAATCTTTTTTTTGGCCTTGTTACGATTGTCGGAGCACATTTATTTTCTAAGGCCAGATGCTGATTGTCATCACTGAAATGCAGACAAGGAACAGGATGCATTAAAAAGCAAGGCAGTTTGGAGGCAAATTTAAATTCCTTCAATGGTCTTTTTTTTTTTTTTCTTTCTCTTTTGGAACAGCATCTTGCGTCTCCAAAGGGATCCCAGCACAAACAAAAAGTGATGAGAACTGCTCTGTTGGCCAGACAGAACCGCCGTTCTCAGTTAATGGACTGTGATATCTTCATTTTTACCGCTCAGTCCTCGTTTTCTTTGGTTTTCACTCACGCTGATTGGATGCTGTTTCCCTTGATATTTTCGCCGTGCAGGAGTTGAGTCCGAAAATGAGGGGAATCGACAACACAAGCTAAAAATGACCAAGTAGAAATTGGGTAATGGAGTGGATTTTACTGATTTTGGGGGGTTTTTTTAACCTCTTCGGTTAATTATTTATCAATCACAGCAAATGAGTCCATCCAACATTTAAGGAAGCAAAGATAATCTCAATATTTATCAAAACTGGGATTTGTCAGGTGACCTCACCAGTCAGTCAAAGTAATTACAAGGATTGTTATTTTTATTTTTGTCATAAATCACACAAGTCTATTTCCTGCCAATATATTTAGTGTCACACTGTCATGGAAAAGTAAAGCACCCTGTCGCAATGGAGCAGAACATCATGAATTTTACCTCACTGATCTCAATATACATGACTCTTTTTAGAACCGGCTTACATAAAAAGTGGAAAGAAACATTTCTAAACCGTGCCAGAACACCGGTGTTGTGCATCTGTGTTAATTTTTTCATATGTGAAAGTATTTCTTTTTTGTCAATTATTTTGTCAAGAAATGTCTTATTAGACATTATGATGTAGTTGTCCTTATTTTTTCATCTGAAGAACAGACATAAATAATTTTACCCAAACTATTTCCCTTTACGTGTTATAAGTCATACTTTTAAACCCACCCTGAGGAGCCTTAATGTTAGACATTAGTCACTTTAATCCATTTGTTTGGGTTCACAACCCTACCTTATATGATTTGTGAAACTCAAAACCCTTAACCCGTTCCATATTTAATGAGCCTAGTACTGGATTAGTCCATATTTGATCGAAGGCTAGATTAGCAAAGCTTGGTTGTGTGTTATTACCCGGGTCATTTTTAGAGCGCATTGAAAGTGTGCTGTGCTGGCTGGTAATGGCAGTAAAAGCACGGGGTGTCTTATAAGCATTCAGCGCATGTGGGGAGGCTTAGTTTACCCCTCCTATTTTTTTATTTATTTTTTTTTACTATGCTACCTCATTGCCCCTCTGTTCACTGTCTGGCAAGGGTTTTGTTTGGGGCTTTCAAAAGCAGGATATAGGGCCAACTCTTTACGGGATCAACTACTCAGTATAAAACTCCCATTATCCCTCTTTTCATCATGTTACAGACAACCCTCCAAAGTCAAGTATTTATTTTTCTTATATCACTTTTGATCCGTCATGGATATATATCTCCCTGATGGGTCGATAGCGATTAAGAGGTTGGAAACAAGCCCTCTGAGACTGTTAGAAAAGCTCAATACTCTGTTATTGTTCAGTCTGAACTTGAGTAAGACGTGTGCGTAGGTGTTCGTAAAAAAAAAAAAAAAAAAAAAAAAAAAAAGGGGTAAAAGAGACCGGGGTTATTGTGGTGTTAAGATCCCCTTGGATCGGGGTCGTAAAAAGTTTTTTATTTCACAGAGACAGACTCTCTGGAGTA